TTTAAGCTGTGGTGCTGGAGAAGAGTGTTGAGTATACCATGGACTGCTAGGAGAACAAATAGGTTTCTCCTAGAGAGGGTGAAACCTGAATGCGGCTTGGAGTCCAGAATTCTGAAGCTTCATCTGACATACTTTGGGCATGTTGCAAGGAGGGACTGACTGGTCATTGGAGAGAGGGACATCATGTCTGGGAGAGTGGAGGGACGGTGCAGGAGAGGAAGACCCTTGATGAGATGGATCAATTCTGTGAGTGGAGTGGTGAGAATGAGTGTGTTTGAGAAGGCGAGGTTGGTACAGGATAGAACGGCATTTAGGGCTCTTGTACATAGGGTCACTATGGCTCGCAAGCATTTCAATGGCACAAAACAACAACAATATATGCCCTAGGGTTGTATCCTTTCTCTAGATTAAATCATGGTTTAATCTGTACACTGAGCAAATAATTCAAGAAGCTATACTCTGAAGAAGAATGTGGGATCGAGATCAGAGGAAGATTTGTCAACAATCTGTGTTATGCTGATTATACAACTTTACTTACTGAAAATGAAAAGGACTTGAAATACTTCTACGGAAGAACAAAGACTACAACTTTCAATATGGATTGTATCTCAATATCAAGAAGACAAAAGTCCTCATCACTGGACAACATCATGATGGATGGAGAAGAGATTGAAGTTGTCAATGATTTCATCTTGCATAGATACGTAATCTACACACTTGTTATCAGCTGTCAACATATTAGGAGACATATTGCATTGGTCAAGTCTGCAGTCACAGGTATCTCTAAATTATCAAGGGGTAATTATGTCAGTTTGAAGACTAAGATGCACCTCATTCAGGTCAAGGTATTTTCCATCACTTTCAATGCATCTGAGAGCTGGATGGTGAATAAGGCTGATGGAAGAAGAATTGATGCCTTTGGACAGTGGTGATGAAGAGTACTGAATACTCTATGGATTGACAGAAGAACAAACAGATAGCCAGAGTGAGAAAGCTATCCGGAGAAAGTCAGAGTGCTCCTTGGAGGCAAAGATGACAAAGCTTCACCTCACATACTTCAGGCATGTTGCTAGCAGAGGCTGTACTGTGGAGAGGAACATCAAGCTGCTAAAGGGCAATGCAATAAAGGAAGATGCTTGGTGAGTTGCTGCAGCAGTGTTCACAAGAATGTCAGAGATGATTAGGATGGCATAGGATAGGATAGAACAGCGTTCAGATCTGTCGGTCACTGTGAGTCATACTCATGAGTATCTAACAACAGCAATTTCTGCTGACATAAATGCCATGCCTCTCCAATGGTTCAAATTCACCAGTGGCTTCTCTCTTACTTTTTGGTTTTCAGCCTCTCATTTCCTGCTGGTGATTCTACTATGAGTGCCTTCTGACTTGCAGGCAATGAGTGAAAGTGAGTGTTCATTCTTACTGGGGGCTGAGACTCATTTCCTGGTGGCTTTCAGTGTTCTGTTTGGCATATACAAGAATATGGTGGTGTGAGGGGTCTTATGCAGCCCATGCTTGTCTGTGCCATGGGTGAGAAAGTAGGTGACGAGAGCGGTACAGATGTGGTGTGAGTGCTGGCCACACTGGGGCGTCCTGCTGGCAGCTGTGTAGGTGGTGCAGTAGGCAGTGTGAGGGAGAGGGCCACCAGAGATAGATGCATATGAAGCAATGCAGGATCAAGGCTAGAATCAAAAGAGATTGGGCATGGGCATGCTTCATGCTAGTGTCCTTTCTTGCACATGAAATGTGTAAGAAATAAATGCTCAGCTGTCAACCTTGAGTTTGGAGGTGACAATCCACGTGGAGGCACCTGAACACCCAGAATACTTCTAAAGAACAAGCCCTGAGCACGGGCACAGCTCTGCCCTGAACCCTCCTGAAGAACCAGCTCTGAGGATAGGCTCAGCTTTGCCCTGAACCCTTGAAGGGCCAGCCCTCAGCGTGTACACAGCTTTGTCCTGAATCCTTTTGAAGAACCAGCCCTGAGGGCAGGCACAGCTCTGCCCTGAATTCTCCTGAAGGGCCAGCCCTGAATGCAGGCACAGCTCTGCCCTAAATCCTTGCAGGGCCAGCCCTGAGTATGGACACAGCTCTGCTCTGAATGCTGCTGAAGAAGCAGGCCAGGTAAAAAATTAACTCTAGAATATAAACCATCAAATCAAACTTGTTAGAAGTGAGCAAGACTTGAAATTACTGGAAAAAGCAGATTTAAAATGCAAACACTTAAACATATGTTGTTGTTTGTTATTATGTGCCATCAAGTCACTTATGACTCATAGAGACCCAATGTAAAAGAGCCCTAAACCGTACTCTATCTTGTGCCAAACTTATTGTCTCTTACACACCTACCTGCATTACCGCAGTAACTGAATCGATCCATCTCATTGACAGTCTTCTTCTCTTGTGCTGTTCCTATACTGTCCCAATCATGATGTCCCTCTCCAAGGACCTGTCCCTCCTTGTAACATATCCGAAGTATGTTAGGTGAAGCTTCTGACTCCTTGCCTCCAAGTAGCAGCCCATAGTCACCCTTTCTAGGATGAACCTGTTTGTTCTTCTAGCAATCCATCACTCTTCTCCAGCACCACAGCTCAAAGGCATCAATTACTTTTCTATCATCCTTAGTCATTGTCTAGCTCTCTGACACATAGCAATCAACTGCGAAGATTATGGCCTGGGTCAGGTGCACCTTAGTCTGGGATAGGAAGCCTTCCCTGATAGTCGTACTTGAGATTGTACTTCGAGACTCTTGAATTTAAGAGATACTGACCACAGCATAAGAAACTGGCAGCAGCATGAGGTGTTCGGAATCACAGAAGCCGTGATGGCTTCTTAAGCCATCATATCAAGTGCTGAGTAAGGGGAGAGAGGTGTTGAATGATGTAGGTGGAAGTGGAAAGGGATGCTGGTGAAGTAGGAAAAGAGGTGGGTCAAGACACAAGTGGCAAGAGTGGGTAGCATCACTAAATCTATTGGTCATTTCTCTAATTGGATAAATGCCTTTCATCTGCTCCTTTCTGTAAAATGCTTCTCTGTCAAAAAAAAATGCTTTTCTGTCAGATATTATTTTATATATAAAAAAATTAAGACAGACTAGGAAGAAGGCTTGGTCATACCCTTCCAAAATAACAGGCCTTTGAAAACCCTGTGTACAGTAGGGCACATAAGCATATACAAAATTTAAAACTAGACATAACGTGTGCATTAAAATGCCAAATGTAAGATTAGCTCTGGCTGCTGAAATCTGGGGTGACTTTTATTTTTTTTCTCCCTCCTTTTGTATATTATCCAAATTGACTTTTTAATCAATCAGGGGTGGGGGAAGTAGCATTAGAAGATAAATAAAGTAGCACTGGATGGACAGGGTTTGGGCAAAGCATGCTTCTGTTTTACTTACTGGCTGTGGTATCTTTGGCACAGTCCCGGGTTACAAGTGACCCAGGATTCAAGCATCACTCCTTCATATTCTTACTGTTGCAAGCTCACAGACCTGAAGGAGTGGTATTGAGCAAGTCCTCTTGTGGCTAGGGTCAGGGCTTTGGGCCATTGGAGCCAGGTAAGCCTGACTCAAGTCCACCTGGCAGGGAGAGGCAGCTTCGAGTTTGAGAAAGGAAACTACAGGCCCTTCAAGCAGGGATGTGGGGAACTAAGGCATATGTACTTCACACAGCCTGTTCTGAGACAGATATGAGCCTTGATCCCCAGAGACAGTGCAAGTGAAGAGCACGCAGGGCCCGGGCAGTGTCCCTGAGCACAGCTCCTCATGGCCTGTCCCCAACTCTGAAAGCAGGACTACAGCAGAAATGTTTGGATTCCACTCTCTCAGAAACTGAATACCCAGGCCCTGAGAGGTACTTTCTCATGAATATGATCTTTACCCCTAAGTTAAGCAAATGGTCACATGCACAGGATATGGTGAGGGGCTCAGCTGTGACCAGGATCATTGTGGTAGATATCATGGTCACATGTAGCAATGAGTTGGTTCTTACTTGGAGACACCTTCTAGCCCTCTCCCAACTTCCACCCTGATGGTTACACACACATGAATGACAGGTCTGTGACAGGCCCAGGTGGGATGGGGCCCCTCCCTGCCTGTGGGAGGGAGGGTAAGAATCACTGTGTGTAAGATTTTCAATGTCAGTACAGAGAAGAGCAGTTCTGTGTTCACGTTGCTTAATTAAGAAGTAGGCTGGAGGTTGTCTCTTGGCTGTTGAGTATGTTGGAGCACCCTGGAATACTGCTGCTCTGCCCCCTCATGCAAGCCCCTCTTTGTAGCTAGTTCATGTAGATAGGACCTTTGTAGGGGGAATCTGAGTCTCAGAGACTAAGACTGGATCTTCAGTTGCACTATTCCCTTCCTTGAGCATTGAACATGTTGATCTGTCTGGAATGGACATGCGGGCCACTAGAAATCCACACGAGGGCTATAACACATGGGAATCTGATTTGGCCAGTGGGGGCAAACCTGAGTTATTTCTTCTGTAAGAAAGCTCACAGTGGATGTGTACTGGTGGAGCCTTGGTGAAGGTGTTTACCCTGGGACCTCTTGTAGTCCCAGAGTGAGTGTAGTGACCCTGGAGGAGCATGGCCATGACTGCAGGTTCACTGTGGAAGATGTAGCCACTCAATGAGTGTAGCGACCCTGGAGGAGCATGTCTATGCTCTGTGAAGTCACCCACCATTGGAGGTATAGTTTGAGCACTTTGTTTGCAGCCTGAGTGCTTCTGGGATGCTCCCGAATGTGCAGTGGCAATGTGGTCACTTTCCCACACACCTTTGCCCAGGGCCAGCAGGTGCAGACCTCTCTCCCAGCAGTGGTTCTAGAAGGCTCTAGAAAACTGAAGACACACACACCCGCTGGAGGTGAATGTCTGTGTATACTAACCTGACTTGCTCCTGGTGTTTGACATCAGCCAGTGACAAGACATGTCGGGTCTCTGCAGGTTTCAGTGCTGAGTTTTAGTTGTGAACTGGAGCCAGTGTGCCCTCTCTCCTTACAGGTTCCTTAGGGGTCAGCTCTCTGAGTGGAAGACTCCAGAAGCCAAGTGTTGGGCAGTATGATAACGATACCGGCAGACAGCTGTCCTTCTCCAAGTGTGGCTGGGGAAAGACCAACAGTGTGGACCAGGATCCAAGTCTGGCATTTTTCCTCACTTCATCAAACACCAAAGAGGTAGGTGGAAGGGTCTTGGGAGTGACTTCATCAGATCCCAGTTGTGTGCATATCTCGGGTTACAGGGTGAATAGAATAATGCTGGTCAGGGGGGATTGTGTACCAATGAGGGAGTTTTTCTTTTGCTTTTCAAGGAGAGGAGCAAACGGGGGGGGGGGGGGGGGGGGGGGCTTGTGTGGGGAGAAGGGTGCAACAATGAATGAATGGAATTCCAAAATCTCTGTAGATGTTCATTGAAATGAAAAATAAACAATCTAAATTTAAGAAAAAAAAAAGAAGAATGCTGGTCTTGGGAGCTGAACACATTCCCATTGTCTCCCTCCACTCTCCCCTTCCTCCCCTCCAATCTCACTAATACATTTTCCTTTGAATAGTGGATGTGTGGTTGGAAGGTTTGCAGCAGATGGGCCTAGTTAGGTATGAATCTTAGCTCTCCTGCCAGAAATAGTTGTAGTGTAAGGACCCCAAATCATTCCTGTCACATGAATCTCTACTAAGAGTAGAGAAAGGGAATGCTAACCCAGGTCACTAAATGGTCATGACCAAAGTAATGCAGGAGAAGGCCCAACCTTGGGTGGAGACCAGTGAGTGAACAGAAGTGCATGGGCAGAGATTTCCTTTGAGGTCAGATGCTGGATCTAAGTTCTTCATCCAGGATCTTCATGGAACTCAAAAAGGATGCAGGGGAAAGCCGCTGTAGAATGTGTTTCTTACTCTGGAATAAGATTTCACAGAATGTTGATAAGACAGGCTGAGGTACTCCAAAATGATTGCTTCTATCCTACCAACACCGAGCTGATTCCGACTCAGAGAAACCCTGCAGAGTAGAACTGCCCCGTGGGGTTTCTGAAGCTGTACAATCTTTACAGGAGCAGACTATCTATCTTGCTCTCATAGCTTGCTTATTGGGGTCAAACCACCAATCTTTTGGTTAACTACTGCACCACCAGGATGCCTTGATAACTAATGCAAGTTTTATTTACTCTCAGGTTTAAAATGTTGGAACCCACAGAGTAGATGAGAAAAGAAAGTCCTTCACAGTATTAATGCACTGAGATATTTCCTTCCAGACCTTTTCTATACCTGTGTTGTCATTAGAGTGCCTGTGTTTCCATGTCTGTGAATATGCCTTAGTTAGAAATGCTTGCTCTCTCTTCCTATTACAAAGTCTATTTAAGTGTCACATATGAAATATACAATATTTCACTAAACCTATGTGTAAGATGTTTATTTATTCCTTACTGTTGAAGATTCAGACCCTTAGGCAGTATACATAGTTAACTTAGAACTAATTGATGGTTCAGACCCACTCAGTGGTACCACAGATGATAAAGCTGGTTGTTTGTCTCAGTAAAGTTTAGAGGCAAGAAACTGATGGAGAAGTTCTGCTCTATAACGCGTGGGTTGGTAGAAGTTGAAATTGACTCAAATACAAATAACAACTGTTGAACATAAAACAATGTTCATACTCAGAGGAGACCCTGGTTTCTGGCACTGTGATTCTGAATGTGGCCTCTTCATCACCAGTCTTAGAGAAGGGCTCTGCCCAGGGTTGGTCCAGGGGTGCACACGGCTGTTAGGAGGTGGCTTCCTCTTACCTCCACGCTGACATTTTCCTCCCTGGTGAAAATTTCAGACTGCGATCACCAGTTACCCTCCTCCTGTTGATATGATTGATGGCAGGATCATCTCTCCAACCAAAAATGGCAGTGAGTCAGCCTCTTCGACATCAGCGTTCCCTGTGTCACCAGAAACGCCATATGGTAAGAGACAAGTAGAATACTCTAGGCCCTGATACAATGATTACTCCTGTTTAAGGAAGACCATTACAACAGGTCTCTGTCATTCTTTTTTTTCCAGTGAAGACCCCTCCCCTTTATTCTCAGCTCACCCCCTCAGAGCCACACATGAGCAGCCCCGCCAGTCTGTACAAAGGAGCACGTGGTAAGAACTCGCACACTACTGATGTCTTCTTGTAAGAAAGGACAGCTTGCTTGGGTCTTTCTGCTATTTCATGTCGCTGTTGTCTTTACAAAATGTATCTTCTTTAAATATCAGCATCACATCTCTGAGTCTTGGTGAGGGACAGCAGAGAATGATACAGATATGTGTTTATAAAAGCCACTGGGGCTTTCAAAGCATACCTTGAAGTCTGTCTGTGATTGTTGAGCCTATCCCATGGCCCCCTCACCCAAGCCTGGTCAGAGCAATGACCATTCTGCAGGGGCTGTTCTCTCAGACAGTGTTTGTGGTCTATGCTGTGGAATCACTTAAGAACTATGTTCTGTACACCACACTGCATTTGTGTGCAAAGCTGTTGGGTCTGCCCCTACACAGAATTGAGGGGATGTGGGCACAGGATGACCAGGCCAGTGACTCTTCTCATGTTGTTGTGTGACACTGAGTCAGAACCAATCCATAGCTGGCCCTCCAGCAAGTTTTCAGAGGCAATAAATCACACAGAAGAAAAAAATTACCCATCTTTCACCTACAGAGCAGCTGGTGGATTCTAACCATGGACTTTTGGGTTGTCAACACAATTCTTTACCACTAAGATTAGCTCCCTCATCTTCCCATTGATGAGCCTTTACTTCTTGTCTTGAGAGTCTAAAATAGGAATGGAATTTGGCAGATGGAAAGAGAGTACACCCTAAAACCTTCTGCATGTTCCAAACCACCTTGTCCATAATTTCAGATTCTTAATTTTCATAATTTTCAGATTCTTCCTGTGTCTACTTTTCTGCCTTAGTGAAAGGACCAGCAGTTCTCTGTTTCTTAAGAATGGTAGATTTACAGTACATTTTCTTTAAGCCCTGTTTCTTGCCCAAGGAGTATGTATGTATAGACCAGCAGTTCTCTGTTTCTTGGGAATGGTAGATTTACAGTACATTTTCTTTAAGCCCTGCTTCTTGCCCAAGGAGTATGTATGTGTGTATGTATGTTTGTAATAAAGATATGTAACTCTATTTTTCTTGTTTCAAAAAAAAAAATAAATCAAGTCTATCTACTAATTGGTAAAAAAGCCATTTTTCTCTTAAATTTTCTTTAGGATTTTAGGAACTTTTTATACACCAAGTGACCATTTGCTATTAGCTCCGTTTTGACTCATGGCAAGCCTACATGTGTGAGAGTATAACTAGGCTCTGTAGTTTCCAGTGCTCATTTCTTAGAAATAGGTCATTAGACTTTCTTGCTAATCACCCAACTACCAGCATTTTGTTACCTGTGCGCCAACCAGGGATTTTTTTTTATACACAGTATATTACCATTAAACTAGTTATAATTCTTAATAGGTCTGGTTGGAATTTAGAGGCAGACAACATTTGTGACATGTTGTGTTTTATTTATGCATTCTATAAATGTGTGTATGGCTAACATTGAGAAGAATGAGAATATCAGAATACTTACCTGTGCTCACATGAAACCTGTACCTCAACCAAGAAACAGTTGTCTGAACAGAGCAAGGAAACACTGCATGGTTTAAAATCAATAGAGGTGTACTTCAGGGTTGTATCTTTTTTCCATACCTATTCAATCTGTATGCTGAGCAAATCACTCAAGAGCTTGAACTATAGGGAGAAGAATGTGACATCAGCGATGGAGGAAAACTAATGAACAACCTATGTTATACAGATGATACATCTTAGTTTGAACATGAAGAAGACTTGAAATAACTTCCTGCAGAGGAGCAAAGACTACAATCTTCAATATAGGGTACATCTCAATATCAAGAAAAGAAAAATCCTCATCACTTGATCATGATAGATGGAAAAAAGATTGAAGCTCAATATAGATGTTGCAAAGTTGAAGTTATCAAGTTTCATTTTACTTGGATCTACAATCAATACCCACGGTAGCATGCAATCAAAGAACATGTTGCATTGGGGGCAATCTACTGCCAGTTACCACTCCAGGGTGTGAAAGAGCAGCAATATCAATTTAAAGACTAAGGAAGGTGCACCTGATCAAAGCTATGGAAATAGGACAAGAAATAAAGTTGGCAGAATAATTGATGCCTTTGAGCTATGATATTGGAAAAGAGTACTAAATATCCCATGGACAGCCAAAAGGGCAAGCAAGTATGTCTTGGAGAAAGTGCAAACCAGGGTGCTCCTTAGAATCAAGGATGATGAAACTTTGTCTCACCTAACTTGGGCATGTTGTCAGCAAGACCTAGTCCTTGGAAAAAGACATCATGCTGGGGAAAAGGTAGAGGGTGAGAGACAAGAGGGGAAGATCTTCAACAAGAAAGATTGACAGTGACTAACAATGGGCTTGAGCATATCAGAGATGTTGAGGATGGTGCTGGATAGGGCAAATTTGAGAACTTTTGTTCATAGAGTCATTATGAGTTGTAGTCGACTCAATGGCACCTAAAAACAACAACAGCAATAGATGTATGTATGTTCAACTATAAAAGATGTACATATGTGTGTTGTTGTTAGTTGCCATCAAGTTAATTATAAACTGTGTGAGTCCATGAATGCAAAGTAGAACTCCAGAGGGTTTTCCAGTCTGTCACTAATTGAAATAGACTGATCACCTGTTTTCCAGGGCACAACTAAGTGGTCTTGAACAGTGAACCTTTTGCCTAGACAAGTGCTGCCCAAAGCTACACACACATATATGCACAGCGTGTTATTATTATGTAACATCGAGTAAGAAATGACTCAGAGTTGACACTCCAGTTGCTTTTCAGAGGCAATAAATCACATAGGAGATTGCCTGTCTTTCTCCCTTTCTCCTTAGGATTTGAGCCAATTGCCTTTCCATTGGCAGCACAGCTCTGCCACTAAGCCACTAGAGCTCCCTATGAACACCATAGGC